AAATCTGCGGCAGTACGATACCTCTAAAAATAGATTAAAGATCGGAAAAAGATGCTAATTAAATTGATACCTTCGATTTGACTATAAGCATCGGTGGTTCAGTGGTAGAATGCTCGCCTGCCACGCGGGCGGCCCGGGTTCGATTCCCGGCCGATGCAATCTGATCTTTTAAGATTTAAAAACAATCTTAAAATGCAGATGAAATTAAAGTGGTTCTACATAAGTAATACCTAAATAATACTATAAAAAGTTAAGCCCTTTTTAAAATCTCCGATGTAAAATCACCCCTTTCGGAGGCGCAGTATAGAAGAAGTGTTTTGTTTGGTGATTATTGTGGGATTATAAATTCGAAATTGAGCTATACAAGTTTGAACTAGTAAACAAATTCGTCGAAAAATATGTTTAAATTTAAATGAAAAACGCTATACCCAGACGGTGACCTGCATGCGCAATTTTATCCGTAGGTACCGTTATATTTGGGGAAGACGTAGACCTGCATAGACAATTTTCTGTCATAGGTTTAAGTATCCATTACGAACTTGAAAAACGAAATTTAAAACAATTCCGGCGTATAATCGATTGAATCGTCAAAATACCGAATATTGAGAGGTAGCTTTCTATATAAATTCGTTCGGAAGATAGTGTGATTACCACAGAAAAACATCGCTACATCGGCTAAGAATTTTACGCTGATCAAAAATGTATATACTTTGTTGGGTCCGACATAATTACTTTGAGAAGTTACAAACGGAATGACAAAGTTAATATACCCCTCATAGCATGATGGAGGGTATAAAAATGAAGTATTCAAGAAAAATGTGTGGCATTTTAATGATGTTCTTCGATAAAATAGACCAATTGCAAAAAACCTCGATAGATTCTGATTTTAAAACCTTTTTCGCTCTTAAATAAATTTGGATTCACAATTCGATTATAAGAGTCTTAGTTCTATTGAAGTCTGTTCATTTTGCTGAATATACAAAAACCCCTACAGCTAGTACTACAACAAAAAGGAAATTTGGCAATATAGAGCCTGCATCGGCCGGGAATCGAACCCGGGCCGCCCGCGTGGCAGGCGAGCATTCTACCACTGAACCACCGATGCTTATACAGATTATTTTTAACTGTAAAATCTCTATGTAAGAGTTCAATTTGATATCAATAAAATTATAATGCCCTCTTACCACAAATCTCTGTTTCTTAAGCTCTAATCAGTTTACGTACAAATATACTTAAACTATTGACATTGTCTTTTAGTCAACGATTGAAGTTCATCATCAGGCCTTTGGCGAAGAAAAAGCAGAGCTGAATTCATATATGTTCCCACTTACAATGATTTTTTACGCTTTTGTTTGAGATTTAAACACCTAATATTTTTTAGGTCAAAATGGGTTAATACGCATCGACTATGTGTCAAGACATTTCCTATACTTAATGGGTTACAAGATTTTTGTGCAAGCATCGGTGGTTCAGTGGTAGAATGCTCGCCTGCCACGCGGGCGGCCCGGGTTCGATTCCCGGCCGATGCAGACAACTCTTTTACCACTTCAAATTTGGAGTTCCATCGAAAATTTTCCATAAGCTGATAGCAGAAAGAATGAGAATTAATATTAATAATGGAATCTCTACATACCACAAATAACGATTTTGAAAATTGTTGTATTTGTGGTGGTAAGTCTAACATCACTCCGAAAACTGTTTACAAATAAAGAAGATCAATGCTTTTAAACAAAAAATTAGGTTGCATCGGCCGGGAATCGAACCCGGGCCGCCCGCGTGGCAGGCGAGCATTCTACCACTGAACCACCGATGCTTATGCTAAGTCCTCGTAACCCACCAAGTATCGACAATGTCTTGACATATTAACCCATTCTTTAACAAACTTCCAAAATTAATTCTTATCTTTATTCAATGAATGTATTTAAATATATTTAAAAGTAAATCAATGCAGCCGACTTATCAGTTGTCTTTAACTCTTTCACAATATCAGCGCTCTTGAAGACATTAAACTATTTTAAAAATAAACAAAGAAGTGTTGATTATGTTCACAATTGATAGGGTTCATTGAGTGTCAGATTAAATTTAACTCCAGACATTCATACGTTTAAGAAAAATTGCCACTTTATCAAAAAAAAAAAATTGGGTAGGGAAATTAAATTTTGGATTTTACCGAATTTGCTTGAGTTTTGAAATACCCCTTTTGATAATTACCTTTTTCGGTTTACCGATTCAGTTATTTTATAAAAATACCAATGCCTAGCAATAAGTGGTCGAAAATACCAACTTAACACAAATTGAAGCCAATCTGAGCCACCTATCCATTTTGTTAAATATCTCAACTATTTTTGCCCAAAATGCAAGAATTTGACTTCCACAAGATGTGGTTCCAACAAGACGGTGCCACACTTTCATATAGCTGTTAAAAATCTTCATTTAATTTGATGTGAATCAAAAATTATTTCTTTCCGCCACAAGAATTTGCCGTCGAATACACCACAGAAACATTCCACATTGACACGTACGAAGTCAATGCCACTCAAACTTTTAACAATTTTAATAGTATTCTGCAGCTAAACCCAAGTTCTTGGAAAATATTGGACTGCATCGGCCGGGAATCGAACCCGGGCCGCCCGCGTGGCAGGCGAGCATTCTACCACTGAACCACCGATGCTTATGTATATTGAAGAGATTATTTTTATTAAATAATTCAAATACTAAAGTAAGATTTTAAAAAAATATTAGTTTCAATTTTGAAATTCCAATATGTGAGATTCAACCCACAGTTTTCAATATTGCCAATATACAATATACTTCTTTCATTTCTTATAAAAACCCTTTGTATCAAAATCTCAAGATGGGACTTGGATTATTTTAGAAATCGAATTTACATTTTAGTAATATTTTAGAAGATATATTTTATCTTATATAAGAATTGGTATAAATTTCATTTTACTCATCACTCTGTTCCCTTTATTATTTAAATTCATGAATATCCCCTCTTGGAGAGCTCGAGAGATAATCTTCTAAAAACGTTGCCTGCATCGGCCGGGAATCGAACCCGGGCCGCCCGCGTGGCAGGCGAGCATTCTACCACTGAACCACCGATGCTCATAGAAGTCATTTAGATTTACGAGGCTTATTCAAACAAGATAGAAAATATCAGTCGGATTGATTGGAAAAAAATCAAAGTTTGCAATGCTTGCAGAAAATCTGACATTAATTTCATATATTTTGGGAGTTATTATTTTTCTTTTAAATGATGACTTATTGTGTGGAGTTAGCAGAAGAATTGGACCAATATATCCCACCTTCACTCCTGTTCGTAGTAGTGTTATTTTTTGGGGAAAATCCTAAAATTATTTTGATGATTATAAGAATTTTGATTATTTAAAATTTGAACATATGCGGTCTAGGTACCAGACGACGCAGTTAGATGTTGTACATTTTCAAACCTGGCGTAAGTCTGATATACATAATATGATGTCCAAAATGTCAACTAAATCGATTTTGAAAATTTGGATTTTTGGTGGCAGAGGTAGCAGAATGTGTGGACCGATATATCTCGTCTTTAAAGACATCCGAAGTTTGGAGCAAATCAGATGCTTCTACACAAGAATTACAGCTAGGTTGACTCTAAGTGATGTGGAACCGGTTTCATCCAAAGAGACATTTCGATTAGTTTCATTTTTGGTCATATCCAATGATAAATATTCCCCCGGTAGTCATACTACTGTAGTATAAAAATATAGTTATTGAGCTGATCCCCGTGACACATTTCTTTTTTAGAAAAGAACAAGTAAAACAACAGCTAAGTTCGGCCGGGCCGAAATTGTAATAACCTCCACCATTTGGAAGGAATTTCAACAAATTTGATTATCTTTATACAGGGTCTATACGAAGACTTGGATCTGCATAAGTAATTTTTGTCATATGCTGTAGTACCCATTAGGACCTTTAAATACTAAATTTAAAAACAAATCCGTTGAATAATGTCGCTAAAATCATCAGAATACCGAATAAAGGGAGGTGCCGTTACATGGGGCTATACAAAGACGTGGATTATTCGGTCAATATTGTAAAATCGTCAAAATACCGAATATAGGGAGGTACCGATGTTTGGGGCCTATACGAAGAACTGCACTTGCATAAGTAATTTTTTGTCATAGACTGTAGAACCCAATTACGAACTTCAATTACGAAATTTAAAACAGATCGGGTGAATAAAGTCGCTAAAATCATAAAAATACCGAATATAGGTAGGTACCCATATTTAGAGGCTATACAAAGACGTGGGCCTGCATATACAATTTTCTGTCATAGGTTGAAGTATTCATTTCAAACATCGGATGCGAAATTTGAAACAATTCGGATAAATAATGTCGCTAAAATCATAAGAATATCGAATATCGGGAGGTACCGGTAAAAGGTGCTATACAAAGACGTGGACCTACATTTAAAATTTTTAGGCATAGTCTGTAGTACCCATTACAAACATCGAATAGAAATTTGAAACAATTCAGGTGAATGATGTTGTTAAAATCATCAAAATACCGAATATCGGGAGGTACCGTTATATGGGGGCTATACAAAGACGTGGACCTGCATGGCCAATTTTCCGTCACAGACTGTAGTACCTATTAGGAACTTCAAATACGAAATTGAAACAATTTCGGTGGATATTGTACCTAAATACCGAATATCGGGTGGTACCGTGGTACATGGGGGCTATATATGGACTAACATGGTCCATTTACGATCTTAACTTGCCTTCTGGGAAAACATATATATATTGTAGCCTTCTATCTCAATTCGTTCGAAGCAGACATACAGACGGACAGTTACATGATATGTAAAGTGGCATTTAACTGTACTACAACAAATAAAATTTTTCATTCCGCTTTTATTAAATAAGTTTTATAAAAAAATTAATTTAATTTGTTGAAATATTTAATAATAAATAATAAACTAATATTATTTTTATTTCCCCTTTTACTTTACAGCACCCGATCCACCCTCAAACCTCTCCGTTCAGGTGCGTAGCAGTAAAAATGCCATCATTCAATGGTCGCCACCGCTGCAGGGCAATTACACTGCATTTAAAATCAAAGTTCTCGGCCTGTCAGAAGCTTCCAGTTCATATAATCGAGTATTCAATGTCAATGATTCAACATTCCAACACAGTGCTAAGGAACTGACACCGGGTGCCACATATCAGGTGCAGGCCTACACCATATACGATGGCAAAGAATCGGTGGCCTATACAAGTCGAAATTTCACCACAAGTAAGTCACGTCGATTAAATCCAGATGATACCACGAAACAACCAAATAAATGTTCTTTTTGATGATTTAAAAAAAATTGATTTATAATTTATCAAAAATTTCATTTTATTATTTTAAGTTTTTTTTTTTGGTTTGATTAAATTACAAAACAAAAACCTATTTCACTTCCATTTATGTTTATTTATTTTGGTGGTTTTTTTCCTAAATGGTTTTGGTTTTATTGTTGCGCGCTTTTGTTTCCAATATTTTGTTCTTATGTTTTATGTGGCGTGGAAATTCTGTAACTAATATTAATAAACAAAAAAAAAACATTATTATTAAACCAACACAATTTTCTCTCTAATCTAACAAAACAAATTTAATAAAACGCTTAACCCACCCATAAAAAGTACGGAGAACACGGCATAAAGATTTACTGGACATTAAAATCTTAAGAGGTAAAAAAATTCAAAACAATTGGCTTATACATTTTTTTGTTTTGCAAAAAATTTCTAAATTATGGCATATATAATAACAACAATGTGTATGTAAAATTGTTTGTTTGTTGTGTATTGAATGTATAATTACTAATGAATTTATAATACAATAATATGCTATGTACATGTGAACGTACCCACAAAAGTTATACACACAGAAATTAATCCATGTAAACTGAAAAATATGTTAAATCATCGCGATAAGTCTCTCGATAAATCTACTTTTGGTATTAAAAAACGTCAAATTCGACATTTTATTATTGAAATAATTGCAAAAGTCAAGTTTTTGTAATCAATTCTTCTATTATAGATTTCTTTTAATTTTTTTATACAAGTCAAAAAGTTTGAATTTGAATCGATTTAGTCCACTGTGGTATATTTTTAGGCGTTTGAAGATAATTAATGGACCGAAAAATATTTTTGTTCGTTGCAGACAAAAATCGTAAATTTAAAAAATTGACCTTAGCTCTCGTCAACGTATTCATATTTGTTAACAATTAATGCTATATATAGAAAACGAAGAGCCTACAAGTCGACTTTTCCTCTCGTAAAGGTATTAATCTTAAACAAAAGTTCGAAATACTCTTTTTCTATGATATGGTACCCCATAAAGTACGAAATGGATGATCCATCACATGTCTAGATTACAAAAGTAAATAATAAACCCACAACGTAGATGAAAATGTCCGATTACAAATTATATTATAGTCATGGGTCAAGTGAAATTTTCATAACATACTGTAAGGAGCTCCCAGCAACTTTTTATACCCTACAACACTATGTGTTGGGGGTATTATAAGTTTGATTGAGCCAAAAATTATGTAACACCTCGAAATATTAGTCACCGACATAGGAAACTATATATGGATATTCCTGTCTCGCCGACCTGAGTCGATCTAGCTATGTGCAGGGTGAGATTTGTAGTACCAACCTTGCTTTCCAAAATACTCCAGACACAATAGTCCAACGGATTGGTATCCGGTGGCCACTGTGCGCTGGAAATGAAGCGAGGAACCTCATTTTGTAACCATTCTTGGGTGGCGCGTGCTGAGTGCGATGGTGCTGAGTCCTGTTGGAATATCCAAGGTCTGCGGCCAAAATGTTTGCGTGGCCAAGCCTTTAATACAGAATATTTTCGCAATAATATTCGGCATTTATTCTGATGTCACAGTCGATTAATACGAGCGGAGAGCGACCATCGGCAGTTATGGCGGCCGTACCATCACCATGCCCGCCGCTTGAGTTCTGGTGGCCAGCCGAAGGTGCACATTTTCAGCTTACTTCTTTGGCAAGTAAACACGATCATTTTGTTTGTTTACAAACTGCTCGACAACGAATGTTTTCTCGTCGAAGAAAACCAAATTCGGCAGTTCACCACTTTCGGCCAAGCGAAGCAACTCTTTAGCTCTTTTCAGTCTATTTTCTTTATGTTGCGGTATAAGTTGTTGCACTTTTTGGAAATTCAATGGCTTTACCCCGAGCTCATTTCTCAATATTTGCCGAATGGAATATTGCGATATATTCAGCTCACGAGCCATTTTTCGGCCACTGCGATGCGGGTTTCGATCTTTACTTTTTGAACCATTTCTGCTGATGTTGCTCTTTTCTTGCGTCCACTTCCTTGTCGTCGGGCTACGCTGCCAATATCACGAAAACGAACGATGGTACGAGACACAAAAGATTTATTCACATTGTGGTTTTCCAGCCAAATATAAAGAAATCACACTATTATGCTTGAATTCCATTACGAATAACTTTTTTCTGGAAAGTTCTCATTAAAATGCTTTTGTACGCTTGTAAACAATATAATGAGCTGTCACTGGAATACTTTTAACAGCTGTCGGACGAGTGGCTTAGAAATGACAGCAGTCTGAAGTTGGTTCTAGTTTTTTCATCTCACCCTGTATATACTATACATTACTAAAAATACTCTTGAATTTAATTTATAATATACTTCAAGTATAACTGCATTAATTTATGAACATGTATGAACAGTATTATATAAAAATGCAACTGATAATAGTGGAACAAGACACCCTATATACGACTCTAACATAATTTGTAGTCGGGCCTTAAGCACTACTGAATTCCACTTTTCTGCTAACTTTATAAAACAAGAAATTTGAGTGAAGATTTTAGACTTCTTTGTGAATGCCGAAAGCTAATGAAACATATGTGTGTTTTTACACTTTTTATTTTAGTAAAAAAAATATGAAAAACTCAGTTGGATTTGTCTTTTTCTTCGGGATTCACTTTCATATCGTCATACAAAAACAGGTCCATATACTCATAATCGATTTTGAATTACATATTTTTTTCTGTGTGTATACTAATACTTTTTCTACCTTACTATTCTTATTATTTTATTCTATAATATTTAATTTTAACATAAAATAATTTTATTATATCCAAATTCTTGCTTTCCTATTTTTAATGTCCCTTTATTTTTTGTTATTAAAAATTTGCATTTACAATTAATTCTATATTTTAATTGTTCTATATGTTTGTATTGTTCAACATTATACTGAATTATTTTTTAACACAAAATAATAATCGTTATGTACTATGTGCCGAAAATGTTTTGTTGCCTTTTTATTGCTAAAAATTAAACTCGTTACAATTTATTATTTTTGAAGCGTAGCGTACTTTAGTAACACCATATGAAATTAAAGATAAATCGTTTGTCCTCCTCCTAATGTCCATAAATACTAAATAATTATGACAGATATTTTTTTGTAGCAACAAATCCAATGTACAAAATTTTAGACCATTTAGTTTAAAAAATATGAGTAGGACATTTAAAACATTAATAATTAAGGGGAAATTGTTATATGAGGATCAATCGAAAATCTAAATAAACATTTGATCATTTTTGTTCTAACTTATTCCTATGTCTAAATGCCAAACGATTTTCCGTACATTAAAAGTTTTAGTCCACCAAAGGTAGTACTTAAGGTAAATGTTCTATTATGTTATTTTACCATTTCTATAAGACATTAAGAGAAATCGCCATTACTTTCTGAAGAAATTTACAAAAGAAAGAAACTTAAAAATTTTCAAAAATACGAAGACGTGGATCTGCTTACGTAATTTTTTTGTCTTAGGCTGTAGAACCCATTAACGTCTTCAAACGCAAAATTTGAAACAATTTCGATGAATAATGTCGCTCCGCTATATGGGGGCTATGCGAAGACGTCGGCCTGCATATGTAATCTTTTGTCATGGTCTGTGGTACCCATTAATTTTTTAAGTACGAAATTTGAAACAATTCCGAATATTGGGAGGTACCGTTATATGGGGGCTAGACCAAGACGTCAGCCTGCATATGTAATCTTCTGTCATAAGCTGTAATATATTTAATATATTTCATTAAGATTTTCAAATGCGAAATTTGAAACAATTTTGGTAAATAATTTCGTTAAAATCATCAAAATACCGAAAATCGGAGGTTCCGTTAAATGGGGGCCATACGAAGACGTCGGCCTGCATATGTAATCTTTTGCCATGGTCTGGGTTACCCATTAACTTTTTCAAATACGAAATACTGTAATGTGGGACCTATACGAAAACGACCAATACGTAATCTTCCCACTGGCAAAATACAACTGTGTGCAAAACTCAATTCGTTCCAAAGATATCGTGATTGACGGACCGACAGAAATACATCGGTAAATCCACTTGGAATTTTACGCTGATCTAGAATAGGGTCCGTCATGATTATTTCGAGGAGTTACAAACGGAATGACAAAGTTAATGCCCTCCATACTATGGAGGGTATCATAGTATGGTGGAGGGCATCAAAAACGTCTCAAAATGTTTTGGCCCAATTTCTGTAGCAATATTAATTTTAAATATATTTCAAAAATCGATTCAATGAGGTGTTTTTACCATAAAAGTTCCTTAAAGTTACAGAGATTACCACAGGCCGGCGGACCGTCGCATATCTTCTTTATAGTGTAGTATATGATTATTTTGCGGATAACATAAATGACGGATATCGCAAAGTCAAGTTGACCGGCTTGATACCGGGTTGTTGGCATAACATTATCATGTGGACATTAAGATCGAAACAAGATCATCTAATCCAATCACCAATACAACCAACACTAAATCTCATGACGGAGGATATAACAACTAAAGGAAATATTTGTAATTTTGTAAATAGTTATCAAACTTATTATTTTAAATTAATTTTTATAATATATATTTATTTGTCCCTATTTCTAAGTATATCTATATGCACTGCATTGTTGTTGCAGTTTCCTGTTCCCCAATTTATGTCTATTATTTGGCTATCATTACTTCAACACTTCATTCATATCCTTCTTTTTGGCAATGGTTACATGCAAAAAAATCCATTATCCCATTTCGGTTTTGTTTTATTCATTTGCCAAAGTCAATTTAACTTTAATGTAGAAATTATTAAATCCTTTCATGTGCCACTTATGCGGATTGCATTTCCTAACCATTTAGCAGCATCATCCATTCAATGTAATACTATCGCTATAGCACATTGCCGATTATGGGTCGTGGAGTGCATGCCGATAGGCAGCCAGGCATGTTGTTATGACGATGATAATGCTCTTTTCTGGCCATATCCTGTAACAGGGTAGTCATAGTATTGTACCCTCCAACTGCTTATTTTTTCCAGCTTGCATACTTGAAATTGATTTTGAAGCTTGCACATAACTGTAAAATGCTACACACATTCCAGTATCAACGGAACATAATATGCATTTACAACCACAATAGCATCTTTTTTTACGACATACACTTAAATGTACATACGTATGTACATACATATACACATACCACAAAACTAGTAAAAACCAAATTTCACATGAAATCAATTTTCCGTCTTTTTTTCTTTTCCCCTTCGTATCTGTAAATTCATTGAACAAACATCCACAACTTTGGAAATGCCTTCTTCACCTCATCATTGCAACGATACCACCAATTCAAACAATTCGACAATTCCATGTTCGTTCCCCCATTATCTCGTCCGCCTCCTTGCCCTTTGGCTGAGCAGAACCCAATACACCGGGTAAATTCATTGTATGGTTTCGTAATGAGACCACGTTATTGGTCCTGTGGCAGCCACCATATCCTGCCGGCATTTATACACACTACAAAGTCTCAATAGAACCACCAGATGCCTTGGAAAGTGTTTTATATGTGGAAAAGGAAGGTGAACCACCGGGACCGGCACAGGCAGCATTTAAGGGTTTGGTACCAGGTCGAGCCTATAACATCTCGGTACAAACCATGTCAGAAGATGAAATATCCCTACCCACCACAGCTCAATATCGCACTGTACCATTAAGGCCGCTAAATGTAACATTTGACAAAGACTACATAACGTCGAATTCATTTCGGGTACTGTGGGAGGCCCCCAAAGGAATATCAGAGTTTGACAAATACCAGGTTTCACTGGCCACCTCAAGGCGACAGTCAACAGTGACGCGCACAGATGATCCCATAGCATATTTCGATTTCCGTGATATACCTGAACCGGGAAAAACCTTCAATGTCATAGTCAAAACAGTCTCGGGAAAAGTAACATCATGGCCTGCTACCGGAGATGTAACTTTACGGCCCTTGCCGGTACGGAGTCTTCGATCATTCAACGATGATTCAAGCAATAGCATGATCATCACCTGGGAACCCGATCCAACGTCCACACAAGATGAATATCGTATTGTTTACCATGAATTGGAAACTTTCAATGGCGATACCAGCACCCTGTCCACCGATCGTACACGCTTCAATTTGGAAAGTCTTTTGCCCGGACGCAATTATTCGGTATCAGTACAGGCCCTTTCTAAGAAAATGGAATCCAATGAAACTACGATTTTTGTGGTTACTCGACCATCCTCGCCCATCATTGAAGATTTGAAGAGCATTAAAATGGGCCTCAACATTAGCTGGAAAAGTGATGTCAACTCCAAACAGGAACAATATGAAGTGCTCTACTCTCGCAATGGCACCTCGGAAGTTCGGACTGTTTTCACCAAGGAATCACGATTGGTTATCAAAAATCTGCACCCTGGAGCCGGTTATGAGGTTAAAGTGTTTGCCGTCAGTCATGGTTTGAGAAGTGAACCACATTCCTATTTCCAGGCAGTTTGTAAGTATCAAAATACCTATTTTTAAACATACAAATAATTCAATCCTTTTTATACTCAACAGATCCCAATCCTCCTCGCAATCTCACCATTGAAACGGTGCGCAGTAATTCCGTCTTGGCCCATTGGGCTCCACCCGAAAACAGTGACTTTACAGAATACAATATACGTTATCGCACCGAAAGTGAACAGCAGTGGGTACGATTGCCCAGTGTTCGTTCGACGGAGGCCGATATCACTGACATGACCAAAGGTGAAAAATACACCATACAAGTGAATAGCGTAAGTTTTGGCGTCGAAAGTCCCAATCCGCAAGAGGTAAACACAACTGTACCACCAAATCCTGTCTCGAATATTATACCCTTGGTGGATTCACGTAATATTACCTTGGAGTGGCCTAAGCCAGAGGGTCGTGTAGAATCATACATTCTCAAATGGTGGCCCACAGACAATCCTACCAAAACCCAAACGAAAAATGTTTCCGAAAATAAATCAAGTAAGTTTTACTCTAAACGCAAATGTAAACATATCTAATTTTGAATCTCTTCTTACAGCCGATGACATTTCCACTGTACGAGTCCTCATTGGGGACCTAATGCCGGGAGTGCAATATAAATTTGATATACAAACCACTTCGTATGGAATTTTCTCAGGCACCACTCATCTCTCCACACGCACAATGCCTTTGATACAATCCGAGGTGGTGGTGGTCAATGACAAACAAGAGGATGAACGCGATACAATTACCCTCTCCTACACACCCACTCCACAGTCATCTTCGAAATTCGATATCTATCGTTTCTCATTGGGTGATCCTGAAATCAAGGACAAAGAAAAGTTGGCCAATGACACGGATCGCAAAGTCACCTTTACCGGTTTGGTACCGGGTCGTTTGTACAACATTACCGTCTGGACAGTGAGTGGCGGCGTTTCCAGTCTTCCCATACAGAGGCAAGATCGTCTATTCCCCGAACCTATTACCCAATTGCATGCCACCAATATAACCGACACCGAAATCTCCTTGAAATGGGATATACCCAAGGGGGAATTCAATGATTTTGATGTACAATATTTGACAGCCGACAATATTCTCGCACAAAACATAACAACACGCAATGAAATCACCATTGCCGATTTGAAACCTCATCGCAACTATACTTTTACCGTGGTAGTACGTTCCGGTACCGAATCTTCGGTATTGCGAAGTAGTTCTCCCCTGTCAGCCAGTTTTAGTACCAATGAAGCGGTACCTGGCCGCGTAGAAAGATTCCATCCCATAAATGTGGAACCCAGTGAAATACTATTTGAATGGCTGTTGCCACAGAGTGAAGCTAATGGTATTATACGACAATTTTCCATTACCTATATGAATATCAACAATGCCACGGAAAGGAAAACTGTAGATTTCGATTCATCCGAATCGACTGGGTCAATAAAGAGTTTAAAACCCGGCGAAACGTATGTCTTTAAAATACAGGCTAAAACTTCAATTGGTTATGGACCGGAAAGAGAATATAAACAAACAATGCCCATCTTGGCACCACCCAAACCGGCAACCCAAGTTGTGCCCACCGAAGTCTATCGCAGTTCGTCGACCATACAAATACGTTTCCGTAAAAATTATTTCTCCGATCAAAATGGAGTGGTGAGTGTGCATTTTTTATTGGATTTCTTCCAAAAATATAATTTTTAATACGTTAAAAATTATTTTTTTTTTAATTTCAGGTTCGTATGTATACGATTATTGTGGCCGAAGATGACAGTAAAAATGCCTCAGGTTTAGAAATGCCCAGCTGGCATGATGTTCAATCGTACAGCGTTTGGTTGCCATATCAAGCTGTAGAGCCCTACTATCCATTTGAGAACAGTTCGGTTGAGGATTTCACGATTGGTACTGAAAACTGTGATAATCGCAAGAGTGGCTATTGTAATGGACCCCTAAAGTCAGGCACCACTTATCGTGTAAAAGTTCGAGCTTTCACTGCACCAGATAAATTTACCGATACCGCCTACAGTTTTCCCATACAAACAGGTGAGTTAAGGGACCAATTAAAAACTTATTCCTTTAATACAAAAAAAAAGAAAGCAATAGGATTAAACCTGATTAATATCCCCAAACCATTAAATATATTTTAAAAACTATTACCTTTATTTAAATGTGACTCTTTATAAATCGTCTTATGTCTTGCTTACACAAAAAAATTACATTTTTGTCTTACACAAATTAAAAGATCTACTAACCTCTCCTGGTAAGTTATTTAGAATCGACTGAGAATTTGGATTTAATTTCATTATATATTATATATTGCCATTTTAATAACACATTTCCTTGTTTTGTTTCTGTCTTTTCTTCACGTTTTTCCAACACATTTTAGATCAAGACAATACTTCATTGATTGTTGCTGTTACTGTGCCATTGACAATAATTTTAATACTACTTGTTACCCTGGTATTCTATAAGCGACGTCGAAATAATTGCCGTAAAACGACGAAAGATTCTAGGGCCAATGACAATATGTCACTACCCGATAGTGTAATTGAACAAAATCGTCCAGTGCCGATTAAAAACTTTGCCGAACACTATCGCATGATGTCGGCCGATTCTGATTTCCGTTTCAGTGAGGAATTCGATGAACTTAAACATGTGGGTCGCGACCAGCCCTGTACATTTGCCGATTTGCCATGTAATCGTCCGAAGAATCGTTTTACCAACATTTTGCCCTACGATCATTCACGTTTCAAGCTGCAACCAGTTGATGATGATGAGGGTTCAGATTACATCAATGCTAATTATGTACCGGGCCATAATAGTCCTCGTGAGTTTATTGTCACCCAGGGACCGTTGCATTCAACCCGTGACGATTTCTGGCGTATGTGTTGGGAAAGTAATTCTAGGGCAATTGTCATGCTCACCAGATGCTTTGAGAAGGGTCGCGAAAAATGTGATCAATATTGGCCGAATGATACCGTACCAGTATTCTATGGAGACATAAAGGTGCAAATACTAAACGATAGTCATTATCCAGATTGGATTATGACCGAGTTTATGGTGTGCAGGGTAAGTTTTTGGGTCGAAATAAATTTAAATGTCCATATTTTTTTTATATTATTTTTCTTTTCTATTTTAGGGAAGTGAACAGCGTATCATACGTCATTTCCACTTTACCACTTGGCCCGATTTCGGTGTGCCAAACCCACCACAAACTCTGGTGCGTTTTGTTAGAGCTTTCCGCGATCGCATTGGTACAGATCAACGGCCCATTGTTGTGCACTGTAGCGCTGGTGTTGGACGTTCGGGCACATTTATAACATTGGATCGTATTTTACAGCAAATAAATACATCTGATTTTGTTGATATCTTTGGTATTGTTTATGCCATGAGAAAAGGTAATATTTTTTAATGAAGGACTTGTTGGAAAAAATTTATTTAATTTTAATTTTTTTTTTTTACAAATCAATAGAACGTGTTTGGATGGTCCAAACAGAGCAACAATATATTTGCATCCACCAATGTCTATTGGCTGTGTTAGAGGGTAAAGAGAATATAATCTGTCCTCCCCGTGAAATGCATGACAATGAGGGTTATGAGGGTAAGTCATCTGTTTGTTTTCTTTTATTTTCCAATAATTCAGATTAGTTTTTGGTTTATTTGATAAATTGGTTTGGTTAAAGAGGTTTTTCTTAAGGATTATGGATATCTACTTATATTGTTTTAAAATTTCGTTCTAATGGTTATCGTGCAAAGTAAAATATGAAAATTATGGAAAATGGTGCAAACTAATTTACAAAACTAGTGCTTATATAGTACGTAGATTATATCAGTAGCATTGAAATAATATAGGTTAAATATAAATTTTGCTTAGCCCCTTTGGAAAATGTCGTTTTTACAACACAGTGGCTGTAAAATTTTAATGAAGCAAGAAACATTAAAATGTCAACATGTATTAACAATTGATGGCATGACTTCAGAGATGTCTATATTCAAGTTGAAAGCGACTTCTAAGCTAAATAGAGGGTTATTTTACCTTTATTTTTTATTAGAAGTTTATGCCTCTTAATTAGGAATGTTGGTTTGACTATCATGCCTATCAATATAAACCTACTAATATAGTGTTGTCTAATATACAAATAATACTATTACTTATAAAACAATTCAACATTTTTGATTCAATTACAATTTGAAGAATGCTAATATTTATTGCCATATTTTCCAAACTCTGTTTGCCTCTAACTTCACAGTCTAAAATATATGTACTTGCGGGAAATATCCTATTGATTCTATTGATTCACAGTGTTTCTCTTTCTTTCACATTTTGAGTAAATTGAAATTATAAATGTTCATGACGACGTGACAACGTGTATCCCCATGCTAAGTGTTTGTGTGAAATCATTGCTATTCAGCTACACCACACATTATGAAAGAACTAAATTTAGCTTTTACAACAATGCCAAATTTTTCAATGAAATTGTCTGAAAATCCACAAAATGAGTTCCTTCTGTGTAATTTACCCCGTGGAAGAGTATTGTCTATATAGGACCACGATATCGTATATCACCTATATAACGGTACCCCCTATATTGGGTATTTATTATGGTTTTGCTACAATTTTCAATGGAATTGTCTAAAAATCCATACTAGAAGCACTTTACCCCTCGGAAGAGAAATGTCTATATATGTCCACGATATCGTATTGCCCACATACAACGGTACCCCCGATATTCGATATTTTGACGATTTGAGGGACATTATTCGTAATGGGTACTACAGCCTATGACAAAAAATTATTCGGTATTTTGATGGTCTTAGCGACATTATTCACCGAAGTTTTTTCAAATTTCGTATTGAGAGTTCGTAATGGGTACTACAGCCTATGACAAAAATTTGTCTATGCAGGTCCTGGTCTTCGTATAGACCCCATGTAGACCTCCCTATTCTCCCGGTTCTTCGGTTAATTTGGACATAATTTCTTTAATGATGATCTTTGTGTTTTCCTCAAAACTCTTTAAATTAATAAATGTGATATTAAACAAAAAATAACAAAGCTTTTTATGATGTATCCATTCTGAGTTATTTAAAATTAAATTTTTCTATTATTAGCTGTTGGGCACAGACATTTTTTAGATATTTTGATAGAGAGCCGAAAAATATTATTCATAGGGAGACAAATCAAATTAAGCATAACGACAAAATTACATTCACATCCTGCATATACATATATGCTCAATATTATTTAAATATAGTGAATGTAGAACAATTTCTAAGAAAAAATGTTTAATAAACTATTACTATTTTTTTTTTGTATCCTTAAAATTTTCATAAAAAGGAAGAATGCAAGCTCATTTTCAATACTTTACAAATCATTTAAATTCGGATGCACATTTTAGAGGGTATTCTCATACTGAATTCAAATGACTCTACAACAACAATGTTGTTTTAGAAAAACGTTAGTTGTTGCAATTCCATATATAAAAATATGTCTTGATTACTTCACGCAATTTATAGTTATTATAATTAATAAATAAATAAAATATATATTTAATTGAGTCTAGTAAACCATATGAACGATTTTTTAAAACAATATAAAGTCATTTTACATTAATAAATCTTCCTGTACATCTACACACAATATTTTATATTTTACAATCTGAATTATTTCTAAACATATATATCATGCTTAATCGCGCACATACAAAATGATTTATTTGGTGTTGGGTTTCAATGCGTAACTAACATTCCACAACAACTATTTTTCTCTTTTCTTCCCTAAAACAAAATAAATAAATTTAAACAAAAATATTTCCTTAAATAAATAAAAAACACAAAAATTAAAATATTATTTGCACCACACACAAAAAAACATAAAACCATAAATTCCCCACATAAAAGGACAAGCATGTCAATTTGATGAAAATGGTGAAATTATTGCCACCATTGAAGGCCATAATGAAATGCACGATATGATACTGCAACCCGAGGATGCCGAAGCCATTGACGATGAAAATGCTGGCATTATTAACGACGATCAACAGCCGCTGACCAGTTTTGGTGGTGGGGCTATACACAGTGCTTCCATGACATCCTTTGGCACATCTGGCCAGGCTTATGCAAGTGATTCTTTGGACAGATGACATACGGCCAATCAGAACGATAACAACAATTCCGTGGTTATCGTTCTGGTTGACAATAAGCCTAGTTCGATGATCTGTAAGGAAGGTTCCATAGATGTCATTAGCATTGGTGGCGGTGGCAATACGACCACGACCACCAGCAGTAATAGTGCCAATTCGCAACAACAACTCAATGGTATCGGTGCTGGCGACGGCCACCGAGGTTCAATAGCCACCATAACAAATGGTCACAATACTTTACAACATAGGCGAAAATCACAATTAATAACATTTAGTTCATCTTCCTGTGATATTAAGAATAGTCTTAGCCATGAATATATTATGGTCAATAATAATAGTAATGCAACTAACAATAATTCCTCTGCGAATGGAATCACTGGCAGTCACATAAATGCCCGGGGCAGTACTGGCAGTGGTTCTCAGACGGGCAGTGCCCATAATACACGCCTCAGTTTTGCCGAGGAAGATATTATGATAATAGCAGCACATCAGCCATCGTCCCAGGCACAGCAACAACAACAGCAGCAACAGCAAACGCAAGTGCAAATTCAAAACGGCTCAATAACAGGTTCAAATGGCAGTGCCTGTGGTTCCATGGATCATGGTAATGATCTGGACGACGATGTCTTTCGTCGACATTCCCTTGAGGTGGACGAAGAGGCTCAGGATGCTCTGTACAATGAAGAATATGGTACACATATCGATGCCAAATCCAATAATGCCAATAACGATGATAGCGGTGGCGGTAGTTATGAAGACTCACACGCTTTGCATAGTTCCCTAGGTGGTAGTAATCGCAATAGTTTAGAAAAGGACGATGATGAAATCGAAGTTGATGTCATTAGCACCGATGCCAGTTGTTATGATCAATTGTTGGGCAGTAGTTGTAATACGCGCAACGACGACGACGAAATTGCCACCATTGTGGGTGATGCGGAAAATTATACGAAACTTTCGAAACATAATATGAAAACGAATGGATTGAATGGTGTCGGTTCATATGGAGTTGTGAATAGTAGTGCCATTGGAGGAGGAGGAGGTGGTGTTGGTAATGGTGGTAGTATTGGTGAAACTGGTGGTGGTATTATATATGCCAATCCGTTTATGGGTTTGTACAAATTTTCTATATATTATTAGTAGTGTGGTTGTTGTTACTTCAGCCAAAGTAATTGCATGCGTTTTTTAATTTAATTTATATTATATATTTAATATAACATTGTTTAAAACTTTTTATTCTCAGCTAGAAAGTTTAAAAAGAGAAAATGCTTTTATTATTTTTCTTAAACTATTATTATATCCTCCATCATAGTTTGGAGGGTATATTAAGTTTGACCCCCATTTCGTTCGTAACACCTCGAAATATACATTTTAGACCCCAAAAAGTAAATATATTCTTAATCAGCATAAAATTCTGAATAAAATACCATCCGTCCGTCTGTGGAAATCACTCTAGCTTCCGAACGAAATTCGGTATTCTGATGTTTTTAACAATTATTATTCACCGGAATTGTTTCAAATTTAGTATTTTAAGTTCGTAATGGATACTACAGCCTATGACTGAAAATTGCCTGTGCACGTCCACGTTTTGGTATAGCATAGCCCCCATAAAGGTACCTCCCTATATTCGGCATTTTAATGATTTTAGCTACATTATTCACCGGAATTGCATTCAATTTGATACTTGAACTTAGTAATGAATACTACAGCCTATGACAGAAAATTGTCTATGCAGGTTCACGTTTTGGCTCAGCCCTCATATAATAGTTCCTCCTTGTATGCAGTATTTTGATGATTTTAGCTACATTTTTCACCATTTTTTTTTTCAAGTTTCGCATTTGAATATTGTAATGGCTTATGGCAAAAGTTGCCCATGCAGTTTCAAGTCGTCGTAAGATTATAGCAGAATTTTTAACGGAGTTTATTTTTTGGAAATTGCCAAATTCGATCCAAGTGGTGGAGGGTATTCAAAGTTCGTCGTAGCCGAATTCATAATGTTTTACTTGTTTTTATTAAGAAATGATTTGGATTAATCCATTTTCAATGGTTGAACTTTCCCAGCTAACATTTTATTCCGAATTCTTTCGAAATTAAGTCCGAATTTCTGCTGAAATGTCCGTTTCTGGTTCGGGGTTCCTTTCGATTTGGGTACAAAAGTTAAATGGACGTGGCCACTGAATTCGGAAAGTTCATACGAGGCAATTTCTAAAACAATTTTAGAGAAATTGGCAAATTTCTAAAAAAAATAATTAGAAATCTCGGAAAAATATAAAATTAGATACCTCGGAAAAATTTATTAACTGTGTTCCTACAATATTTTCAAAAGAAATGATTATGTTTCTCCTTGAAATTTCTCTTTGCAAATTCACAAAAAACGTCCTTGAAAGATCCTTGGTTATGAAAACGTTTAAACATATATTTTTTTCATTCATTGACCCCCATTTTTTAAACTGAAAGTCTTCTACCTCAAAATCGAGAACAAATTAATATAAAATCTACACATGGCCAATATAAATGAAATTTGTTTCATATGGGTAAAATAAGGCACCCAATAGTTTTTACGTTGCTGACCCTTATTTTGAATTTTGATGGCAATAAAAAACCATCGTTATTAAAATATTTATCCCTTATTTTATTATTATTTTTACTTACCTCTTTCATAATTAATAACTATAAATGTTTAAATCATCTTAAGATATATAGTTTAAATTTCCAAAATACCCTTTCTCATCCCATATATTATTATGTTCTCATACTAACATTTGTTATTAATTATATTGCAAAATAATTTTATTCACTTCATAATTAATTAATTTGAATATTTTAATTTTTCCAGATGATGAGGGCATCGCTGAATCTGGTATGTAAGATGTTGTCGCCGGAACATGTCCCGTAAACGTACATCCAATGCTTCCTGGTCCACCTTATATATGTCCATCCCTTACTTCCCTTAAGCGTCAGCGTAGTGAATATTCCTCAATGTTAGGGATATAGTATCATACAATAATAATAAACAAATATACATAAACATATACATATGTAGACATACATACTTGACAAATTCTGATATTAGATATACATATATAAATATATACAGTGGTGGCCATATCATATGCAACTAAGATTCATCTACGTTAAAAGGCTATATAAATTTGTAAATTTCACAACGAAGTATATAAAGATGGGTTAATTATAGTCAATACGTTCTTACGATTTCAAATTATTATCAAAATGTGCATCTTTTGTTTACATCTCTATGTTTACAGGTGTTTTGTTGACAAATATGAAATTTGGTGTGGTCAAAACATATGCAACTTTATATATTTGGTTTAAATAACGGCATTTTTACAATTTCGTTTGTTCTATTGTTCTTCTTATTATTAGCTAGAGACACTACGTAAAGAGATTTAAAGCTACCTTCACATTTTTATTGCGTTGCTTTTTTCACAAAGCTAAAATAGAGTTTGTTCAAAAATGGCACGCGATAAATTTGGACTTGAGCTCAGACAACGAATTGTGACTGCGTATTCTTCTGGATTATCACAAAAATGTATTGCCGAGAAATATACCGTTCATAAAAGCTCCATATCGCGCATCATTAATAATTACAAAAAAAAATCACAAGTCTCTGTTATACACCGTGGTGGTCGAAGTCGAAAAACAAGCGATCGGACGGACAAATTAATAATCAGACACGTGAAAAAAGACCCATTTATATCATCCTCTAAGATAGTGGAAAGATTTCAGTTGCCAGTTTCTGCTCGCACCATCCGTAGAAGACTTTTACAAGCCTCCCTCTGCGCAAGACGTCCTGCAAAAAAACCACTGATATTCAAGCGAAACCAGAAAAAGCGTTTGGAATTTGCTAAAGCTCATATAAATTGGACAGAAAGTAAATGGAGAACTATATTATTTAGTGATGAGTCCAAATTTAACATCATTGGTAGCGATGGCATGTGCTATGTAAGGCGACCAGAAGGAAAACGACTCGAAGCACGTTACTGTAAAAAAAGGTCAATCATGGAGGGGGCAATATAATGGTGTGGGGTTGTTTTTCTGGTGCTGGAGTTGGCCCACTGCATAGAATTGTTGGTATTATGGATAGATTTATGTATAAAGACATATTGCAAAGGGTAATGCTCGCATACGCAGAATATAATATGACATTGCGGTGGGTCTTTCAACAGGACAACGACCCCAAACACGCTTCGAAGGTGGTCAAATCGTGGTTTGCCGATAATAGAGTTACGGTAATGGAATGGCCACCCCAATCCCCAGATTTAAACCCAATAGAGAATCTGTGGGAAATTGTAAACAAAAAAATTGATCGAGAAAATTGTACAAGTTTAGATGTTTTATTTTGCCGGCTGGAAGATGCCTGGAAATCAATCCCAAAAAGCGTCATTGACAATCATATAGCGTCAATGCCTCGAAGATGTCAGGCTGTAATCGACAACAACGGATTTGCAACAAAATATTAACTTTATTTGCACTTTACTGAGCTCGATTTAATTAGTTGCATATGTTTTGTCCACTTCATAATAAGACTGAATATCTTTTTCTAATTTTTTTTTATAAATGAATTGAATATCTATGGAGTATATGTTTTTTTCTTAAACTACAAGCAATAAAAAATAATATATAAAAAAATAATTGCATAATTTTGTTTTCAGAAAATTTTTTCACGGTTTTTGGTAAAGGTTAGATTTCAGTTGCATATGATATGGCCACCACTGTATATACTATTAATCCATATAAATAATAACATGTATATTTATGAAAAGCCACATAAAACAAAACTAAAATCAATCATTAAAAGCAACAAAATTGTATTTAATGATATTTATTGAAACAAAAAGTATAAGAAAGTAGAAGAAAATCTAACTCGAAATATTAAATTAAAGGAAAATTGTAAAACTCATCATTATTTAGGAATCTCTCGCCAATAAGAACAAAACGTGAAAAACAACAACAGAACATATATAAACAATGTATTTTTAGATAAAAAAGGAAAACAAACAAGGACACTTAATTAAACTATTTTACATTAAATGTATACAACAAGAAAAAAACATATAATATATATTAAATATTTAAAGGAAAATGTAATTTTTTTATTTCGTAAGTTTAACAAA